TTATGCTGAGCGAAATAAGTCAATCAGAGAAAGACATGTATCATATGATGTCAATGATATGAGGAATTCTTAATCTCAGGAAACAAACTGAGGGTGGGTTGCTGGAGTGGTGGGGGGTTGGAGGGATGGGGTGGCTGGGTGATAGACATTGGGGAGGGTCTGTGCTATGGTGAGCGCTATGAATTGTGCAAGACTGTTGAATCACAGATCTGTACTTCTGAAACAAATAATACATTATATGTTTAAAAAAAAAAAGAAGAAGATAGCAGGAGGGGAAGAATGAAGGGGCGGAAATCGAAGGGGGAGATGTACCATGAGAGACGAGGGACTCTGAAAAACAAACTGAGGGTTCTAGAGGGGAGGGGGGTGGGGGGATGGGTTAGCCTGGTGATGGGTATTAAAGAGGGCACGTACTGCATGGAGCACTGGGTGATATACACAAACAATGAATCATGGAACACTACATCAAAAACTAATGATGAGATGTATGGTGATCAACATAATAAAAAAATAGAAAAAAAAAAAAGAAAGTATTTTAAGCACAGTTTAATTCTGAATTATTGAGGCAAATTCCCTGCTGGAGAAATCCTCACTGGAATATGTAAGTATACAGGTAGGCATGCCTGTACCTACGTCTATATTTTACTATTATAACCCTCCTTTGTTTTTTCATTCTCTCCTGGGGCTTCCCTGACAATCAAGATCATGGTTAGTTTTCCCATGGGTACTTTGTTCTTGAAAGGTGACCTAATGTCCTGATACACACTGCATGCACTCCAGGAGATTGCTGTAACCCCTAAAGGCATTCTGATGCCAGTCATCCAGCTCTACTGAGGTAGAAACCCTGGTGTGGAGACTTCTAGTGGAAGAGGCTCCACCTCTCAGTCTCCTCCATCTCACGTCAGCTTCTGGATCAATGCAAGAAGAGTTGCCATCTCCTTTAGCATGTTAACTCTGAGGAGTCACTCCAAAAAGCATTTAGTGGTTCATCCCTCTCCTGAATTCCTAAATCATTCACTGCTCTGAATCTGTTATAGTAGTTGCCAGTTAACTTTAGCAAAGGTATGAACCCCTTGTTTGGCCAAAGAAGCAGGGGATGTCTATGTGTTCTAGGTGGCCATCAAAAGGAATGAAATCTTGCCATTTGCAATGACTGCTTCTTCATTGCAAGAAGAAGAAATTCTTCCTGCCATGATTATTCCTCCAACACTATCTCTCAATGTTCCTAGTCTAGTGTCCCCTCACTGAGCTCAGATGATGTCACATGGTTCACTGCCGCTATTTGATAGGTTTCACAAGCAGATCAATGCATGGTTAGAGATTCGGAGCCATAATAACAGAGATGTTAAGTCAGCAAAGCAGTGTTTTTGCTCAGAACTCTTGTTTCTATTTACAGAGAAAAGGAAAAAAACACCATAATACAGGCTGGAAACATTTATACTATCTGTCCACATGATATGGACAGATCACAAAAGAGAATATACAAATGGCTGATAAGCATAAGAAATGGTACTCAACTTCATCAACCATTACGGTAACACAAGCTAAACCCATATAATGTGGTACCACTTCACACCCATCAATTCAGTAGCTAAAATGGAAAACAGACAATAGTAAGTGCCGGTGAGGATGTGGAGCAACTGGAATTCCCATACACTCTGATGGCAGTACAAATTAGTACAACTGGACCCAACAGCTCATTGTGAGGGAGACTTCCAAGAGAACGTCCATATGCTCACCAAGAGGCATATACAAGAATGCTCTGCAGTACTCCAGAACAGCCCACAGCAAAAACAACTTAAAAGCCCATCAACAATTGAATGGAACCACTGAAATAGTCCTACAGAGGAATACTGTATAATTTTACTTACATAAAATATTCAAATAGGCAAAATTAAGCTACGTTAGAAGTTAGGATAGTGGTTACCTCCTCGGGGGAAGTGACTGGGAAAGGGGACGCGGAGGGCTCTTCTGGGGGCACTGGTAATGAATGTCTTGTTTCCTCTCCTTGGTGGTTACATTGGTGTGAACTTTGTGAAAATTCATTAGGCTGTAGTCTGTGATTTTTGCATTTTTCTGTATATACGTTTTATACTTTTCTGTATATACATTATACTTCCACACAAGGTTATAAAAATTAATTCCGAGTGGTGTCCAGTTTCTCAGTTGTATTTCTATTCTCTTTCATGTTTTTCTTGTTTTTTTTTTCTTATTGAGGATGGGTGTATGTGTTTGTGTTTCACAGTTGTTTAGCTGGGTCATGGAGAGGGGGGAATGCAATGGGGGTAAGCTTGATTCTCGCCCTATCCCATAGCAAGCGGGTCTGGCCAGGGTCAACAAATCAGATAATCAGAGTCAGATGCCTAGAGATGGCAGTGGCCTGAGAAATAATTTTACAGGATTCAGGAGAGAAAACTGAGACCTAGAGAAGTTATTTAACTAAGTACATGCATCTGTTCTGTTGAGCAGTGGGGACAGAATCTGAATTTCCTGATTCCAATTCACATGGGCCTTATACACAGGCAGACGTGACTGTCAGTTACTTCTTCCACATTCATCACAATTTTTACATCATGATGGAAATTTTTAACTTGCCTCATTCCTAGGTGTTCAATGATCACTGGCTCCCTCTGAATCTCCTCCTTAGGAGAAATAACCTGACATCTATTAATATGAGGCAATTGATCAGATTTCCTATCATTTTCGGAGAGTGGATTCCCAAGAGAAATCACCATGAGGTGGCTAAGTTTTGCTGGAACTAGAACAACTATAGGGCGATTATTCCCTGCCAGGAACTGCTATTTTCCATGGAAGCATTTTCCATGGAAGAAGTCACTTAATCCCTACAGCCCTGTGATGTAAACCCTCTTGTTATTCCCATTTTAGAGATGAAGACACTAAGACACAGAGAGGTTAATAACTTGTCCAAAGTCCTACTTACTAGTGAGTGCTGGGGTACAATGATCCTGGACAGACTGCTCTTAACCACCTTTATGTGGAATGGGATAGTTTAAGCCGCTATGGTGAGATGCCTAACCTCCTGAAGATGTTAGGATACTGGAACAGACAGAAGAGAGGGGAATATGTGAAAATGCCCAGAAAAGGGCAGGAGACTCATCACAACCAAGCCAAACAAACAAACAAACAAACAAAAAATCCCAGGATTCATGTGTGTGAGTGCGCACGTGTGTGAGTGCGCACGTGTGTGTGTGTGTGTGTGTGTGTGTGTGTAACCATGTCAGAATATATAGGTCATTAGTGAGTTATATTGATCGTCTAAATTGATCAAGCTAGGTCTAGAATTGTTAAATCTTTGCTTCACTCTATGCTTCAAAGATTACACCAAAGAATATCAAAACTCTGTGATGAAAGGAATTAGCTAAATTTCAGGCCACAATGTGAAAAAGAAGTTAAATAATAAAGTTTTGACTAGCGGAGAACATGGGCGTTTTCATTCACTGGCACCCACACCAGCCCCTCTTGCTCTGTGTCCTGATGTACCATGTCCATTACCAACTACATCCTCAAATGGGCTTTCTCACACTTTCCTTCTTCCAGCCATGCCAGAGCATCACCATGAGGTGTCTCAACAGACACACACTCTGATATCCATTCAAGATACTTGTCAATTGCAAAGCGAACCCAGAACCCCATTTACTGCTTCATAGATTTGAATGAATCCTGAGACAAGTATCCTCTACGCCAACACCCTTGTCCTGGAGCTCCACTGTTGAGGATTCCACAGAGAGGAAAGAACACTTGTCCCAAATCCTTTTCAAGTGCTTTGCATCCTGGATGCCACACTCAAGCCTGCCCGCCCTCAAGCACACCATACCACATTCTGAAAGGATGTCTTATGTGAGCAGGACACCAACAGATTAGCTAAAAGAAAACAAAAGGCCTCCCTACTACAGTGAAGGACGGGCTTCACGGGGCGGCTGAACACAATTTTGCATTGAAATACAGTTTTCCCATTTCAAAGCAATGTAGAGGCATGAAGCTTGTTAGATTTATATAATGCCTGGGTCTCCCAAGACTTTACAAAGCGAATGGCATCCATCAAATTAATTTCCTTGGGGATCGTCTCAAACACGGAGAATAAAGAGGCCCAGACCATTAAACATCAAAAGAATGTTCTAAATGGTAATTAAAGTTCTATTATATTTTCTTTTTCTGGGAGCAGATTAGAGTAATTCAATTGAGAATATTATAAGTATCAAAGCTGACAGTGTGAATGTGTCGAGTTGGCTGGAAGAACACTTAATATTGCAGACATCTGTTCATTCAAGTTACACAAAACACACGAGAGAGGGAGTCGACCCCAAGTGTGGGGTACTTACCAAGCCGGCACACGTAGACACAGCAATAGAAGATGAGCTGTCATTTCTGATAAATCCCTGATAGAAACATCGCTGCACTGCGGGTTCCCGAGTCTCTGAAGCCCCATCTTTTCCAAGTACCTGGACAATAAAGTGACTGCTCAAAATCGCCGAGGGCTTAAGTTCTAAATGTAGTTCCTGTCCAAATGCTGAAAATTGGTAGTGCAGGGAGCTGTGGGCACTCTGCGCCGATCGCTTTTTCCTGCCGTTGTGCAAAATGTCGTGTGAAATATACGACCCGCCCGAGTCCACTTCTACCGGGGTGACAAAGACGTAATCTGCAATGGGAAAGGTTTAGCTGTCAGCACCCAGAACCCACAGTGCCAAAGGGTCACCCTGCAATAGGCTTAAGAGCAAACGTGCAGCTCAAAGGTGGCTCTGTTCCTACCGCCGAGCACCTAGATCCACAACAATTCAGAGCAGCTCATGAAGAGAGCTCTGTGGCCTTTGCCATGAGCTCTGTGACAGTAATTCCTACAAAAAAACGAAAAGTCAAGCACAGGCTTCATGAGTGTCGAGAATGTTTGTGGAAAACGCCACAACTCTCTCTCTCATGGTCTGGAGAGACAGATGGACTTAGTAGATGAGTCAGAGCCATCCATACATAAAAAGTGATTTTTTTTTTTTTTTTTTTTTAGAGACAAAACAACAAAAGGAGACAAAAGAACAACTTTTTTCTTTCAGGAGATTAACATCTTTGTGTTTAAACTGAATTGGGAGCACTTGGGGAGGCCGAGCTTAAATTTCAAATGATAACTCACAGTGCTAAGTAACTTGAGATGGCATCCCAGATAATGAGCACCTACCGGCAGTTTCCTATTTCCGATATTAACTATATGTGATAATAAAACCCCAGCACTCGTATGGCTCTGAACATTTTACTCTGAGCTTTTACAGGGACAATCCCATTTCATTGTAAACATAAAATATAGTGGATGCATAAAAATGCCTCAAAATTGTCAGAACTTTCCTATAGAATCTGAGGTTCAAAATTGCTCAGACATGTTGGTGGGGGAGTGTCAGTCAGGGGACACCTGGAAAGACATGTTTCAAAATACTTTCCCCATTGCTCTCTAGAGAAGCACTAATTGCTGCTTGTTCTAAAGGGGAGGAACTAAAAAAAAAACTATTTGCTGCTGGAAAATTGCAGCCGGCACACTGTTTTCTATCACAAAACGTTGAAACTGAAAAGTATCATCACAAGATGATTTGGAGCATGGCTTCTGCGTGTTCAAACACACTCTGAATTTCCACTTTCTAGGCACAGAATGGGAAACTAATTTGGAAAGTGTTTAGAAAGATTCCGAATAACTAAGAGGCATGTTTGAGTCACTTGGGTCCTTGGTTATTGGAGGAGGAAAAGAGGAATTTCCCTTTTCCCAAAATAGTCAACAACCAAATAAGAAAAGCTCAGGAATGAACAGAAGCCCTGTAGCTAACAGGGATCAATGAGGGATATTCTAAAGGAGCCTACGTTTTGGGGGGGTGGGGGGGTGGGAATCCCAACAGGATCATAACTTTCAACTGTTTTCTTCTGTATGAACCATCTGTGACTCTTATTGCTTGAGCAATTCCCATTCTCACAATGGACTTTGTCTTGCCTCTCCCATTTTCTCCTTGCCTCCTTTAACTAGAAATACTATCTAACTGACACACGTATTAAAAAAACAACTAGAAAACTTTTCTCCTCTCTTAATCTTAAAACACACACACACACACACACACACACAAAACCTCAGCAGGCCATACACGATTTCTCTTTTAAAAATCTGCCATGTTGTTTTATAGGTATGCAACTCTTTTTTTTTTTTTTAAAGATTTTTTATTTATTTATTCATGAGAGACAGAGGGAGAGAGAGAGAGGGAGAGAGAGAGAGAGAGAGAAGCAGAGGGAGAAGCAGGCTCCCAAGGAGCAGGGAGCCCAATGCGGGACTCGATCCCAGGACCCTGGGATCATGACCTGAGCCGAAGGCAGACACTTAACCATCTGAGCCACCCAGGCGCCCATAGGTATGCAACTCTTGATTAAATGCAAATTTTTTAGCAAAAAACCACCTCCTTCCTCCACCGTACTAAAACCTAAGTGTGAAAACCCCGCCTGCACGTGCTCCAGTCTCTGCAAGAAGTCGTTTCTTACCTCCTTGTCCAGACCCACCCAAAACTCTGCCTGCTCCTATTTAGGAGGCACTGGGGCAGCGTTATCCAGCCAGCCTTCCAAGCAATCAGCCCACAAAGCGCCCTGCCCCAGAGCTACTAGTTTGTTTCCAATGGGAGAATGAGCAGGTGGATGGTAATATTCAATCCTCGACAGAAAGAGCGGCAGTCAGAGCCTCCTGTAGAGAGTGATCTCATCAGTCCGCTCAGGGGCTGACTAAAGATGAGGTCCTTACAGGTGGTGGCTAGAACAGAGGGAACTACATGTGGAACAATGAGGGGTTGTTTTAGAAACTGCAGCCGGCCTCTCCCGGTGGACAAAAAGTGAATTTCTCAAGAGTTAATTCCTGGCTCTCTCCCGTCCCCTCACTCACCCACATCTTCCCAGCCCTTACTCCATGACTCTGCCATCTCCCCTCTCCCCAAGATGCCTTACTCTCCCACAGCAGCGGGAGATAACCCTGCAAGGCTAAAAAGTCTAGAATCTGGGCGGTCTTGCTAGACACCTGGATCAGCTGTTCTCCTGTAGCTGCTGCGAACAATGGCATCAAGGATTTTCCATTGGGTCCCAACAAGAAGTTAATAAACGACAGACGGGAAGAGTGTTCTGGGACCCTGCAGTTGGGAACCTCAGAAGAGATTAAAGCCCCAGAGACCTCAGGCTACCTGCTCTCCTCTAAAAGCAGTTTTTGGGAATCCATGACACAAGGACAGGGGAAAGCAGAAAAGCAAAGGAAGATCAGGAACACAAACGGACAGGAAAGTGAGAAGGAAAGATGGGAGGGGAGGGCTCACATTTTTTTCATCTCCCACCAAGAATTAGCTCCTGCAGGCTTTTCCAGAGGAGGAAGGAAATGAGGAACGTGCCTTTTGATATCAACCATCTAGTCCACTTCCTAATTTCTCACCACAATAAGGATTTTTTTTTTAAACAATCCATTTGTGAACGAAGGAAAGTACCGTTTTCTCATTTATGGGACTTACAGCTTGAGGCATTGATTCTTTTGATAAGTTCAGAGTCCTTGCCACATCCCCACCACCCCCCTCTCCAAACAGGAGCCCTTTCCAGGACGCGCGCACACCTGCCAGGCGGGGGGTTGGTGGCGGAACGCGCCTTTCTACTTCTCTCTCTTTGGGGGGAAAGAAGGGGCAAGTGCCTGGAAAGGCACTTCTGGGGGGTGGGGAGCAAATACGAACCAACGTTTAGTCCGCCGCCGCCGCCGCTGCTGTCACTGGCTAAGGCTGCGGCGACCGACGCACAGCAGAGGCAACACAGCTGGAGCGCCTGCAAGAGAAAAGGCGACACCGCGCGTGAGGGGGCGCGGCGGGGCTGGCGCCGGGCGCCCCCTGCCACCCGCTCTCGGCGCGCCCCGCCGCGGGCACCTGCCTTGGCCACGCGCCCCAGCCCCGCCGGACCGCACGGCGGGCGCGAGCGGGCGGCGGGGAGGGCGCACGCGAGCAGGAGGGCGCACTCCATGGTCAGGTGCGGGCGCGGCGGCTGCGGGCGGCCGGACGCGGCGGGCGGAGCGCACTGGCGGCGCGCATTCTCCCCGCCGGCCCGGAGCGCGGCGCTCCAGGTGCGGCGCCAGGTGGGAGCCGCCGCCGCTCACATCGCGGGCCGCGCACGCCTGGGCCTCCCCTCCTCCGGCCGCCCGCGCGCCCTCCCTGCTGCCGGCGCCGGCCCGCCGAGCTGCCTGCCTGCCGCTCCCGGGGGGCACGGGGGCTCCCCGGGCCCGGGCTGGCGCGCGTCTCCGAGCGCAGACGGCCGGGGGTGGGGGGGACTCTGTCCGTGCCTGCCCGCCCGCTTGCCCGCCAGTCTGTGCGTCTGTCTGTCTGTGTGAGCGTCTGAGGCTCCCGGGGAAAGCAGCGCCAGCTGGCTCCCCCAGCGCGCCGAGCCGAGCGCCCGCCTCTCCACCGCACGGTGATTGGCGACCAGCGGCTCCCGGGCCCGTCCGAGCCCCCGGGCTGGTGCAAGGGCGTGGGATCCCCGGCTCCCGCTCCGAGGGAGGAGGCCGAGGGGGAGGGGAGGGGGGGGGAGTGGAGGAGAGGGAGGGGGGGAGAGCGCCCTGGGTCAGGCTTGGAAAACGTAATTTAAGCGCACCGCGGGCTGAGCTGAGAGGGGGCAGGCTCAGGTAAGTGGCGCGACTCCTCTGGCGGCCTGTGCAGTCTTCTCTTGTACAAGTCTTCTGGCGAGACAGCCTAGGTATTCAGCGTTCTGAACGCCTCCCGAGTGCCAGGTGCTACCCACCCCACCCCCCCCATCGCATTTACCTCCGGCCCCATCATTGCAAGGTGGGAATTATTAACCCCTCGAGAAAGATGAGGAAACTGGGCTCAGCTGGGCTCAAGATAGCCTAGCTACCCAAAGAAACAGGAGGCCTGGCAAATCCAGGGCAGCCTGGAGGGCTGGAACCCTGAGCCTGGTCACCGCCTGCAGCGCAAGGCAGGCTGGCCGTGGCCTAGCCACTTCTCTTTCTTCTCCCTGTGACCCTGTCTCCCGACTTCTCAAGACTGAATCCTGGCCCCAAACACCACACGCAAGTCCGAGAACTCAACCACCACCAACAGAGCCGCCATCACCGTGAACGTGCGGCTCACTTGCCGCGTGCCTGGTCATCTACTCAATACATTTACTTAATCTTTGGATCCCTACTGTTCGCAGGGATGAACGGAATAGAGTCTCCGAGGCCCGTGGGAAAGACTCTCATTGGATTACTCAACAATGCCAGAACCCAGAGGATCACAACTACTATAAAGGAACAGAATAGGCTTCTAAATTAGAAAGAATAACAGCTATATCTAATTTAGCTAGGAGTGGGGGTAAGAGTGTGTGTGTGTGTGTGTGTGTGTGTGTGTGTGTGTGTGTGTGTAACGTGTCTCTTCAGAGCTCACATTTCAAATAAGACCAAAGAGACTGTGCTGGTTTTACAAGGGAAGAGAGGAATAAGGTCTTGTGTGTCAGCAGCGGGGGCACAACAGAAGTGAAGGTCTTCAGGCCCGAAAAGTGAGTGAGTTACAGGCCAGCGGGAGAGGCAGGGAGCAGAAGGCCAAGTCGCCAGGACCTTGTAGGCCGGGGGAAGCACATAGGAATCTGTTAGATTTAAGATGTGAGAGAGAGGGTGTGTGGAGGACAGCCTTATCTCTAATACAGAGTCTCACTGTGTGGACAGGGACTGGCGGTGCTGAAGTTGGGCCAGAGAACAGGTAAGCAGACTTGCTAGAATCAAGGTTAATAATGACACATCCTGGACCAGGGTAGTAGCAGGAGAGGGGGACATGTACCCTGCTCCAGTCCTAAGAGCACTGAGGTGGTTAAGATGAGGTCCACGTCACAGCTTAGGACAAGTGACAGCTCAGTACGCGTAGTCTGTTTCCCTGCATACGGCAGCGACAAGTTGACCTCCAGGCTGCCCAAGCAGAAAAGCCATGCAGTGAGGAAATCCAGATTGAACAAACCAGTAGGGTTTCCCAACATAATCTGTTTCAGCTCTAGTGGCCTCCGTTGTATAATCTGTGAAACGGGAATAAACACGATGCCTCGGAAGGATAGCTCAAGGATTGACTGTATTTTTCTGAGCACTTTATATGTGGACTTTAAAAGTGAGAACAGGAGGGGCGCCTGGGTGGCTCAGTCGTTAAGTGTCTGCCTTCGGCTCAGGTCATGACCCTGGGGTCCTGGGATCGAGCCCCGCATCCGGCTCCCTGCTCCGCGGGAAGTCTGCTTCTCCCTCTCCCTCTCCCCCTGCTTGTGTTCCCTCTCTTGCTGTGTCTCTCTCTGTCAAATAAAAAAATAAAATATTTTTTAAAAAAAAGTGAGAACAGGATACATTGTATTTCCGTGACTTCATACATCCAATGTCAGATTTTAATGTGCATCAAAATCACCTGGGATGCTGGCTTACTATGCACCTTCCTGGGCCATGCACCACGGAAATTCTGATTCGGTAGATTTGGTGCGGGGCCCAGATATGCATTTGTAGCGAGCACCTGTGGGGGCTTCTGATACAGGTGACTTCTGGGCTTTATGTGGTCTCAGTAAAGAACTGGACACCAAGGGAGTGGAGGCTGGAGAGATCATAACTCCCAATTTCATCCATTTGCGGATGACTGGGTCCACCATCTTCTGTAGCGCCAATATATAAACACTGCAAAGCCAGCCTTAACTTCGGAGATGATTGTATATATTCAATTATTCCCAGAACTAGCCCTGCAATATGTACAAATTGCCTCTAGATGGTGACAGAGAGTCAGGAGCATAAGGTCCTGCCCTTCAGCTGTGAATTGCAAAATAGCACTCATCTCTTAAGTTATTTGGAAACACAAATCTTAGCTGATTTGGGGGCGCCTGGGTGGCTTAGTTGGTTGGACGTCTGCCTTCCACTCAGGTCATGATCTTGGGGTCCCGGGATTGAGCCCTGTGTCATTGGGCTCCCTGCTCAGTGGGGTCAGTCATCTTCTCTCTCTTTCTCTCCCTCTGCCCCTCCCACCTCCCTCTCTAAAAAAAGAAAGAAAGAGAGAAAGAGAGAAAAGAATGGCAGGTCCAAACTTTTTCCATTTTCTTTAGCGATAACCAGAAAGACAAGGTGCATGCCACACAAAGAGTGAAATTCAAACAAGTGACATGTAGCCAGTTTTGTTTTTTATTTGTCAGCGACAACATAGGAAGTAGAACCTCTTAGCTTAATAGCTAGCTTTAGAAATAGATTGTCATCAAGCACCATTTAGGAATTGTCAACCGTTCTCCTCCCCTCTAGCGTTACATTTCAGTCTTTCATGGTACTTCTTAGGACATGGACCTTGATTTCTTAGCTTTACAACCTGCGTGTGTCCTAACTTATCTGCGCGATGAGATTCCTCCACTCAATTTGCCTCTGTTGATCCCGCCCTGGCTACGCATGCTGCGCCCCTGTTCTATTTTTAGTGCTTTCCCAAGACCTACTATTAAAAGTAGTTTGTTTGCCCGAGGCCCAGGAGGCTGTATCAGAACTAGACTACTTATCTCCACAACCGGACTCAAGGCCAAATTCTGAGCTCTCTGCACAGTGGAAGAGTGGAATAGAGACTTTGCAAAAGCCCTGGGGAAAAAAATCAGGCCATCGAAGAAAAGGAAATAACTTTTGTCTCTGGGACCTATTCTCTCCTCCTTCTCCACCACCAGGATCTCAGCACACGCAGGCTCAGACATCTGTCCCAGGGATTCCCAAGCTCACCTCTCTAAGGCCAGCGAGTCCCCACTCGGCGTGGAGAGCCAGGGCTGGGACGTATTGCTACTCACTAAAATCTCCTGGATAATTGTCAGAACCACGCTCCCAGGCTTCCCTATGAATATTCCAATTAAGTGGCTCTGGGATGAAGCCCAGGCTTTGTCATTTAACCAACACCTGGTTGTTTCTGATGTCACTAAATGTATTACAAACAGCGCATCGTGGCCCGCTGTACTTACACCTTCGCTTAAACACCAACACTACTTCTGGTCAACAGGACTTAAAGCTTCTGGGGTGCCTTTGAGTTACTCCTTACTTGGGGAAAAATCAGAGTATAATAGAAATCATAAAGGGCGGGTGTGGGACTGAATCCGTGCTGTAGGGATGAGCAGTAAATATTTGTTGCTTGATTAGATTTTGGGCTGGGAGAGGCTAATTTGCCTTGTAAACATTTCCATCTCCCTCCTTCTGGTTTAATCCGTGATTGAGACCTGCCCAAACATGTCGTAGTACTTTTTCAGGGCCAGAATTACTGGCCTAAGAGGTGGGATCTGGACTCAAGTGTGACCCGGGAGAATCGTTCACTGGTGTTTATCTACACCATTTGGGAGAACAGACCCATCTTTCAGCTGAGGTTGTCACAGTGTGTGATTACAGCCTGGATTTGTCAGCAGCCATCCCCCTGATCTGCAATAAATGAAACTCCTCGAGTAGGAAAGAGGGAAATAAACAGGCTCTCGTCGGAGGCCATGATTCTTGTACCTTCTCCTTTAATCCTTGAAATCACTACCATCTAAGCTAACTCTCTTTCCCCCTTTGAGTTGGTCTGTACTGGGTTTCCACCAGTTTCAACAAAAGTAGTCTTAGTGCTTTTTTGCTCTGTGACCTTGGACACCAAGTCTTAATGTGCTCATCATGGTTCACACTGAGAAGATAGTCCCTCCTTCACCTATTTTTATTTTCACTCGAGTTGAAGGGAGCAACGTATATAAAATGTCTGAGGCAGAACCCAGAACCACCAGTGCTCAATAAATGGTAGCTCTTCTCCCGTTCCTGAACTTCTTTTGAACCTTATTCCTGTGGCCATTCCACTTTCTGAGGCTGTGAACTCTTGCTCAGAGATGGTGTCACCCGAATGTTCCTTTATCCAAACCCCAGATGGGACCCCTAATATTTCTCATCCAATTCCAGGCTATAGCTCTTGGATACAATGCCTAGGTGTGCATTAGAAAATGATGTTCCTTTGTACAGCCATGGTGGAAAACAGTACGTA